GAGACTGGAAATCACAGTCACTGAGGCCCATGTGTCAGGAAGCCCGAGGAAATGTAATTTTAGCCCGTGAATGAAGGAAATCAGTTAGCTTCAAAAAGTTTATTTTGGCTTGCAGACCCAACTTCACCGATACCTGAACTTATCCTGTTGATTTTAGTTGTCCTTTTGCACCTGTGGACACGGAGACCCCTTCCCTTTGTAACGTTAACATGTTCGTTATGTCTAATTCCTTTCTACTTAGCTCTCCTAATGATACCGGTGTATGTTACTGTCCCTTTCCATCGTGATAGAAGTATTTCTTAGTAAATTGAATTTTAACACTTGTCAAAGTGCTGGAATAGCAAAATGGGGCTGAGTCTTTTTTACTAGGAACCTCTGTTTCCTCTAATCATTCCCATTTGATTCTAATTGTGGACTTTAACCTGAATGTTTGGATCAATGACTGGAAACATTAATGATGGAGAAAAGTTACCCAGTGAGCATTTAATCATATGCTGTTTGAAGAGTAACACCTGGTTATTATGCATCGCAGGTGCAATCAAGAAATCACATGGCTGGAAGGATCACCTTGACAACCAGGGGAGACATTTGAGGTGAGTGTGATTCCAACAACCGAAATTAGTGCTTCACAAAATCTCAGGAGGTGTCATAACATCAAAATACACTGAAATGAGGGGGCTCCAGATAGTTCATGGACAACTCCATCGTCTTTCAGTTGAATCATTGTGTGAACAGTTTTAATTGAGGAATTGCTGGAAAATCGAATGTCGCATATACATTTCCCAACAGTCAAATCTCTTTCCTTTTAAATTGTGAATCAATTAAGAAACTGTCAGTAGTGTGCCATTCAGATGTGGTGGGAGCCTGCACAGCTCTAAATGTTTGTTGATCTCCAGAGTCCTACAACATATCCAGTCTGTGATGTAAGACTCTTGGTATCCATGCAGGTGTTTGGTGTTGCAGGAGTGTGTAGAGCGACACGTTCATATTGGTGGTTTGCTCACCATCCTTCAATGTAGTACCAGTGATTGTTTCTTCATCAAATCAAGTTCTAGTAAGCAGCAGTTTTGATTGCTATGCAATCTGGACACTTTTCTCGTTTATGTTGAAAATTGCTGAGTTTTTACTAAGTGGTTTGAATCCCTGAAGCCTACTGATGTTTTTGTGTTGTGTTTGCCGAGTCAGTTCTGACTTTTAGCAACCCTTTGTTGACTTTCCAAGGAATAGGTGTTGTTCCATGCCATGAAGTCGTTCCACTTTGTGATTCAAATCTAGCTTGCCTCCTAGTGTTAATCGTTCATCAGGACCCATGTATATGTGTATAATCCTGGCTGTAAAATGATGGAATCCGTGAAAGTTCACGTAAGAAAGTTTTCATAAGTATAAGTCAGTGAAATGTTTAAAGCATATTTCACTTGGACACAATGAGCAGGAAGACTTGCACATTGAGGCAAATGGTAGTCGTTGTCCTAGATGAATCTTGAGACAATTCAGCAAAAAGACACGTACGTTCACTGTGTTTGCTGACGCTGTCATGCGCCAACATTTGTTTCCAACACGATAACTGACTTTTTATTTCTTGTCTCCTTGTTGAAAATGGAGTAGTTTGCAGAGGACACCATTGGTTTACATTTACACTACCTCTTTTTAACAGAATTGGTGCAGTCAAAAACCTGGATGAATGTTCTGAATGCAACCAGTGTGGGGGAACCTCCAGTCCGATTCCTGGTCTTTCTGCGCATCAAGTAGATCCCACAGAAGTAGATCCTTTTGAATGCTGTGAGTATGGAGGAGCCTTCCTTGATCATTCCCTAGAGAACAATCGTAGTAGAGCTCACACTGGAAGCAGGACCTGTCAGTGTCCGGACTGTGGAGAAGACTGCAGGTGTCCTTCTCACCTGACCACTCCAGTGAGAACTCATGGTGGGAAAAATACTCATAAATGTAAGATAAGTGGAGACAGGCCACATAAATATACGGAGTGTGGGAAAGTCTTTGGTGAGGCATTACTCCTCTCTGGACTTGTAGGAACTCACAGTGCACAGAGGCCATTTGAATGTAAAGAGTGTGAGAAATCCTTTAGGGATTCCTCACAGCAGAGTCAACATTTGCAAACTCACAGTGGAGACAGGCTCTATGAATGTAATCAATGTGAGAAATCCTTTAGCCGTGCCTCAATGCTCACAAGACATCAAACAGTCCACAGTGCAAAGAGGGCTTATGAATGTAAGGAGTGTGGGAACACTTTTATGGATTCCTCAGAACTGACTGCACATAAAAGAATCCACAGTGGAGAGAAGCCTTATGAATGTAAGCAATGTGGAAAAGCCTTTAGACTGTCCTCACAGTACAGGAGACACATGCGGACCCACAGTGGAGAGAGGCCCTATGAATGTAAGCAATGTGGAAAAGCCTTTAGAACAACCTCACATCTTATAGCACATAGATTAGTCCACAGTGGAGAGAAGCCTTATGAATGTAAGGAGTGTGGGAAAGCCTTTAGAAGCACCTCAAACCTAAAAATACATAGAATAATCCACAGTGCGGAGAGGCCCTATGAATGTAAGGAGTGTGGGAAAGGCTTTCTAACAGCGTCAAACCTCAGAACACATACACTAATCCACAGTGGAGAGAGGCCCTATGAGTGTAAAGAATGTGGAAAAGCCTTTAGAACAACCGCACATCTTAAAGCACATAGAATAATCCACAGTGGAGAGAAGCCTTATGAATGTAAGGAGTGTGGAAAAGCCTTTAAAAGCACCTCATACCTTAGATTACATAGAAGACTGCACAGTGCAGAGAATTCCTATGACTGTGAGGAGTGTGGGAAAGTGTTTAGAACAACTTCACAACTTACAACACATAGAGGAATCCACAGTGCGGAGAGGCCCTATGAATGTAAGAAGTGTGGAAAAGGCTTTCTAACATCGTCAAGCCTCAGAACACATACAATAATCCACAGTGGAGAGAGGCCCTATGAATGTAAAGAATGTGGCAAAGCCTTTAGAACAACCGCCCATCTTGCAGCACATAGAATAATCCACAGTGGAGAGAAGCCTTATGAATGTCAGGAGTGTGGGAAAGTGTTTAGAACAACTTCACAACTTACAACACATAGAGGAATCCACAATGCGGAGAGGCCCTATGAATGTAAGGAGTGTGGGAAGGGCTTTCTAACACCCTCAAGCCTCAGAACACATACAATAATCCACAGTGGAGAGAGGCCCTATGAATGTAAAGAATGTGGAAAAGCCTTTAGAACAACCGCACATCTTACAGCACATAGAATAATCCACAGTGGAGAGAAGCCTTATGAATGTAAGGAGTGTGGGAAAACCTTTACCAGAAACTCACATCTTAAATCACATAGAATAATCCACATTGCAGAGAGGCCCTATGAATGTAAGGAGTGTGGGAAAGGCTATCCAACACCCTCAAACCTCAGAAGACATATAAGAACCCACAGTGGAGAGAGGCCCTATGAATGTAAGGAATGTGGAAAAGCCTTTAGAACAACCGCACATCTTACAGCACATAGAATAATCCACAGTGGAGAGAAGCCTTATGAATGTAAGCAGTGTGGGAAAACCTTTAAAAGCACCTCACACCTTAAAATACATAGAGGAATCCACAGTGCAGAGAGGCCCTATGAATGTAAGGAGTGTGGGAAAGCCTTTAGAGCAACTGCACACCTTAGAACACATAGAAGAATCCACAGTGCAGAGAGGCCGTATGAATGTAAGCAGTGTGGGAAAGCCTTTAGAAGAACTGCACACCTTAGCAGACATAGAAGAATCCACAGTGGAGAGAAGCCCTATGAATGTATGGAGTGTGGGAAAGCCTTTGTTCAGGCCTCACACCTCATACAACATAGAAGAATCCACAGTGGAGAGAAGCCTTATGAGTGTAAAGAATGTGGAAAAACCTTTACTTGTTTCTCTTCCCTCAGTATACATAAGGAAATTCATAGTGGAGAGAGACCTTAAGAATGTAAACAGTGTGGGAAAGCCTGTACAAGAGCCTCAGCCCTTACTGTACATAGAAGAATCCACAGTGGTGAGACCCTATGAGTATAAGGAATCAGGGGAAAGGTTTACCCATATTTCAAGTTTCAGATCACATAGAAATATCCACAGTGGAGAAAGACCCTATGAAAGTAAGGAATGTGATGGTGGTGGTGGTTATGTGCTGTGCAGTCGGTTCTGACTTACAGGAATCCTGTACAGGGTTTCCGAGGCTGGAAATCTTTATGGGAGCAGAAAGCCTCATCATGTGGGGAAATGTTAAATCATCACTTAACCCTCCTTTCATATAAAGAGCACACAGTGGAGGGAAACCATATGAATGTAAGGAGTGTGGGAAAGCCTTCAGACTTGCTTCACAATACAGTACACACAAGTTGATTCCATAATGTAGAGAGGCCCTATGAATGTCAGGAGTGTGAGAAAGCATTTATTCAGGCTTCACACAGTTCTACTCTGACACAAAAAAAGGCACGATGAGTAGGATCTACTTAAGAAAAAATCCTCTACTGAGAACCCTGTGAGCACAGTTCTACTCTGACACACATAGGGCATCTTATGTGGGATCTACTTATGAAAAATCATCCACTGAGAGCTCTGTGGGGCACAGTTCTACTCTGACACACACGGGGTACCATGAGTGAGATCTACTTATGAGAAACCATCCACTGAGAACCCTGTGGGACACAGTTCTACTCTGACACAAAAAAAGGCACCGTGAGTGGGATCTACTTATGAAAAACTATCCACTGAAAACCCGTTATGCATAGTCATACTATGACATATATGGGGTCGCCATGAATTGAATTGTCCCTGACAACTGGTTTTGTATCTTATATACACTTAAGTATGCACATACTACTCATTCTTTCTCACTGTACCCCAAGGTCTAATCCCAATCAGGCCCCAAGTTTATGAATTCCTCTTTGGGAGGACCCTCACTCTTTAGCAGTTCTCACAGGAAGCTTGTGAACAGAGAAGTGGGACTCTGCCTCTTTTCTTTACATCATCTGCGAACTCAGACTTTCCCAGTCAAGTCACAGCAGCTTGATTTCAAAATCAGTGAAAAGTTCAGGGGCATGCTGGGGCAGG